AAAAAAAAAAAAAAACAGGCGAATGATGGTGTTAACTGTGTTTTTTTTTTTCTTTTTCCTTCTACTCATTCTTTCTGCACTTCGGTGCTCCTCCCCCCAACGTCAACCTTTAAATGCCAACCTCCACTAGTCACCACTAGACTGTCGTACCATCCTTTTGTCCATATCTCCCACATCTGACCAAATTCTTGCTGGGTGCACCTACATATGTACATGTGTACTGACCAGATTGAATCTGATTATATGCAGGAATAAAGTTTGTTATCTATCTATCCATCCATCTATCTATTCAGTCTCAAAGTTCTGTTGTGTTAAGTCAGGACTTTTGAAACACATTTTTCCAGCTATGGCAATCGATTGCATAATCTTACATCACTGTTGCACACTGCGACCCTTGAAGGAGGGATTTCTTTGAAATTGCGGTTTACAGTAAGAATGCTTTGAGGGATGGAGCACTTAGAAACAGTGAAGACAGACGACAGGTTTGGAGTAAAGAGATCTTTCCTTTTATGATAGTATGTATTTTACTGTAGCAACTTAACACTGAAACTGTTCCGTTTTTTGAGTGTTAACGTCCTTTGTTTTCTTGCAAAGAAGTAAAAGTATGTCAGTATTTATTGTTATTTATTCATATTTAATGTTGCATATTTTTCTTATTTTTAAAATTCATCAAGCGACCGGATTGAACATCCAAGCGGGCCGGTTTTGGTCCGTATGTTTGACGCCCCTGGTCTAAATTGGAAATTTGCATTTTGTCATTCTTGACTGTTGGTCTCTACAGGGACAGAAAGGCAAAAATAAAAAAGTAGGTTAAATTCAGCAAATCATTCCTTTATTAGCTGCTGCTCTGACGGCCAGACAATCACCTGGAGACAATCGAAAGGCCGCTGGTCTGTTACAGACACGCGTGTCTCCCTGTGTGTGTGTGTTTCCTGATCATTAAATGATCATTAAGTCTGGAATCGAGCTGCATTAGTGTGTGATACAAGGCACTGGATGAGAGAGAGAGAGAGAGAGAGAGGAGTGAGTATATAAACGTCATCCAGTGTCTATTCATTTCAAATCTTCACAGCTAATTAAACGCACCGTCATGTCTCAAACCACAATATGTTTGCTTTAAAATAGACAGGATATTTCAAATGTCCTTTGTCAAGTATCGGTACACATTTGTGTCTGTGGAGCGCCGGCTTGAGTTTCGTCAGATTTTCACCGTCTGTGATTGGAATAGTTCCGCCCACGGCACGGGGTGGCTTCACCCACGCCTCCACTTATACCTGCGCGAGGATCCGCCATTTTGTACTACCCGTGCACGGCTTTGCTTTTTCTTGCTATTCTAGTTCAGTGAATTAGTTTAGATTTTTTTTTTTTTTTTTTGTCGTTTGACCATGTTCTTGCCACAGGGTGGGTCAGCGTTTGGTATTACGTAACAAAATGAACCCGACTGTTAGTCTACCTTTTAATCTCTTATCATCCGGCGTGTTATTTGAACATCAGAGTATTATCTCAAAGCTCATAAAAACAAACGCAGTCTGCCGAAAGAAGAGATTGCGCAGATTTCGAAATGCGATTCGATGAACTAGGTTCAAAAGAAAAAAAAAGTTAGGCTTTGAAATTTGAATTCGTAGAATTCTTAGAACCACCCAAGGAGAGTTCAGCCCGCGATCCTGCTGTAATTGTCAACAGTACTGATTTCACAGCTTTGTTGTTTTAGTCCTGGCTGCTCAGACACAGTTCTGCCACTTGATAACAAACAGCTTTAGTCCTAAGAGGATGCTTCATTCCAGTGGTAATCATGCTGCTTTATTTGATGCTGCATCTTAATCATCAGAAAGCCTGACCTTAAAACCTCAATTTGAAATTGCATTCAAAGCAGCTTAAAAAAAACAACAACACAGTTACCAAAAAAAAAAGTTTGTTTAAACCAAAAGGTCATAGGTCACAGGACACAACACAGTTTTAAAAACATTTCTTTTGGAACAGAAGGCGTTGCCACGTGACTCTTAGCAATCAATGACGATCAAGACGGATGCTGGATATCCAATAGTGGTGGCGTTCATTTCTGTGAACTGAGCATCAGGACCACACACGTTCAGGCAGACCCTTTCATCAACAGTCACTGTCAAAGGTGTGTGTTCAAGTGTACGTACCTGAGGCTTTTTTGCAGAAATGTCACATCTTGCCAACCAGGGACTATGACTAAGGTTGACTGACTCTGGCTCTGGGTTACTATCAAAATGCTTGAAAGCATTTTTCTTAATAGTCATCTTCATTACTCAACTGGGTCGCGATTGGTCATCAGGTAATGTAGTGCATTGTTTCCCAAAGACTGGGTCGCGACCCTCAGGTGGGTATTTTAAAAAAATCTCAATTTATCGACTTGTTTTTTCGTATTCGTCTTTAACGACAAAGTAATGTGCAGGTTTTTTATACCACGTCACGGATAAAGTTGATCTCTCAATCGAGGTTGCCATTGACTGCGCGTGTGTGCGTGTGTGTGTTTGTTAATATTACGATTTCAGCTCAGGACTTTAGTGAAAGGGAAATGTCAGCTGTAGATTCAGTCTGACCTTGTAAGCTTCGTGATAAAAGCTCAGCAGCTACGGAAGGAAGGAAGGAAGGCAAGATGTAGCTAAGGGATAAATATAATAGAAATGCATCGCCACTGGCCAGGTAAAATACATTACAGGCATCATTTGAACACTCACACACGTATGATGATAAAGGGGAAAGATTAGAAAGCATGGTAATGTGGAATGAAAAGCACTGCAGGGTCATTGATTCTTTTTTTTTTAAACAATGTTTTTTGACGGTGTTATTGTTGTGATTCTGATCGAATAAGGTTTATATTGGATCAGGCCAGACGTTCCATTATTCTCTACATCACCTGTTGTTTCACCTTCATGAAGGTTACAGTCGTGTGTGTCCTGTGTACTGAACAAAGGAGAGTATCCACAGAGAGTCGCCTCACATTTTCTCCTCTCTGAAGAAAAATCTGTTCAACTACTTCTTAATGCAAACATCGAATTGGAATGCGAAGATCGTCGTAGCTTCTTTTGACGCGAGGTGGACTCGGCGTGTCCACACTGATTGAATGCTGATCGGCCGATGTTAGCCGTTATCGTGCACCGGAACTACCGCACTGAAACATCGCAAAATTATCTTCAATTAATTTTATTTATTTTTTCGTCTTCCAATGCGGCCCAGTACCAAATAACCAATGGACCTGTACCGGGCCCCAGACCGGGCCTTGGGTACCCTTGTTGTAGTATATATTTATATATTTTTTATAATTTTATATTTTAACAGTTGAAGATGACACGAACCTCATCTGGTATAATTCTTTTCAGAATTCTGGCTGCAGTTAGATGGCGTTTGGCACAGTCTGTATTTATGTAACTTATGGCGGTGTGTAATGATGTGTGTGACATTTTCTTGGCACTTAATCGGGGCGTCCGGTGCCGA